ACCAGTGTGTGAATGTGAGAGTGAATGAATAGTGGCATTGTAAAGCGCTTTGGGTGCCTTGAAAAGCGCTATATAAATCCAATCCATCATTATTATTATTATAAAGTCATCTAAGTTTTTAATAAATGTATTAATTTGAAAATTCTGACTTCCTTCCTGAGTTATCGCATTAACAGGATTTTCACAACACTTCAAATTCCATCAACCTTAAACGGTTGAGAAGTAAAATAAAATCAGTTAAACCTGACAAAAGTTCCAATAAGTTCTTCATATTATGACAATGTTGTAAAATATCTGCTGGTGGTTTTTGGAGGTCACTGGTTTTTCATAGTGTCTAATCACCTGCACTGCTGGTCAAAACTCCTGATCTGGACTAAACGTAAAAGGATTAATGGACTTAGTTGTGGTCAGGTTGGGGTTTTTTTTGTTAAACAGACTTCTAGGACTGCCCACTTTCATCTGTGCAATATTGCCAAAATCAGCAACATCTGGTCTCAAAGTGCTGATGAAAAACTAGTTCATGCATTTGTTTCTAAGCTGGACTATTGTAAGTCTTTATTATCCGGTTGCTCTAAAAGCTCCATGAAAAAAAGCCTTCAGTGGACACAAAAAGCTGTAGTGATTACTGAAAGGGACTAGAAATGGAGAACATATGTGTCCCATATTGGCTTCTGTTCATTGGCTCCCTGTTACATCATTTTCAAAGACTTCAAAGACTTCAAAGTATCATATTATACCAAAAGAACGCTTCGCTTTTAGACTGCAGGCTTACTTACGGTTCTTTAGAGTTTCAATAAGGGAAATGGGAGGCAGAGCATTCAGCTATCAGTGGAGCCAGCTCTCAGTTTGGGTTTTATTAAAGGTTAAAGTAAGTGATGAATCAGCTGATCTTGAAGCATCCCTTATTTAAGCTCCCATAGGATTGTTGAACCTTCCTATAATGTCACCATGGCTGCCCCTGGTCTGTTGGAGATCTCTTCTTGTTACAAAGGAGTTCTTCCTTCCCACTGTTGCCAAATGCTTTCTCACTGGAGATTGTGTAATTGTAGTTCTCTCTTTAATACTTCATGGTCTTTACCATACAGTGAGGCAGGTGTGAAATGGAAAAAGGGGATTTCTACAAAGTGATGTTTGTGTGTTTACTTGATGTCATCCTCATTGGCAAAAATGATCACGCCTCTGGCATTACTCGTCTCCATCAGACGTTTGATGATCTTGTCAAACTCTCCAGCTGTTGGCTCGCGAGGAATCTTCACCGACTGAGCGATACACACCCCACCTGACATAAAAAGAAAGAGGTTACCAAGAGATGGACAGATCAGGAAAAACACGCGGGTTAAAATAAAGCTCTGTGTACCAGCCTCTCTGGAGATCTGCATGAAGGCGTCGACTCCGCTCTCTCCGTAGTTACCCTCCGAGGCCAGGGTGGACACATAGTTCCAGCCCATGGCTTTGACGATGTCCAGCATGGCCTGAGCCTGGTATGAGTCCGGAGGAACCACCCTGGAGAAGTAGTCGTACCGGTTGTTATCACTGAGCTCCGGAGCTGTGGACGCATAGCTCACCTGAGGGATCTGAGAGACAATCATCCAACAGGTGACAGGTTTAAACAGAATCTGGTCAAAGACGCGTCCTTTATCCTGACAGTCAGCGCTCAGGTTAAATTAAACACACTGGTCAGACTGGAGACACTGCTGGAGTTTAACAAGCCAGGAACACAATACGCACACACGCACGCACATAGAGGATTAATGTTGTGTAACAGCTGAGCAGAATGTGTGTCAGAGCCTCAATAAACAGAATAACAATCACATTAACGCACAACACTGCGCCTGTGTGTATGTGTGTGTGTGTCTTTGAGCAAAATAATGAAGGTCTCCACATTAATGAGAGCAGACCTCGTTATGACAGCCATCATCATCATCAGGGAGAATCCTCAGTGGAGCGAAACAGACATGAACTGAGTCTCACTTTACAGCCTTCGCTTTTTCCTCTGCACTTAATTTATGTCAACAGTGAGCACCTAGGAACGCTCCATGGCACCACCAACCCCCCACCAACTCTCTGTGACATCACCCAGCAGGTGTGCAGGTCTCTGCTCAGCAGGTGATCGGGTCAGCTTTCAGTTCTCTATAAAAGAAGGCGTTAACGCAGATAACGCTGCTAACAGCTAATTGACCAGTTTGCTAAATTTGGTAGCTATGTGTGAGATCAATTGGGTTATAATTGTAAGGTTGGTGGTTTGACACTTGGCTGTTCTAGTATACATGCAGCAGTGTCTCTGAGCAAGACACCCATCCCAAATCGCCCCCAATGCATCCATCGTGTGAGGAAGGAGCTTAAAGTATGTAAATGGAGAAAATGGCTTTCAGTGCACTTTCCATTCATCAGTCGAAACATAACAGTCATGATTTAATACAGATGGGGCTCCATATGTGCCAGAAGCTGAAGTTCGTAATGTGTGATTACGTGTATTCTGCTGGGGTTTGCTTTAAAATTCAGCTGCTGAAAATAAACCCGTGACACGTGTGTGTGGTTCACGGAGACTCAGTCAGGAGTGTAAACCCGGTTCTAGACTGAATCTTCAAACCCGGCTCCGAATTCTCAAAAACCCTTTAAAAATCTGACCTAATTTGAGGACACACATCTTCACAAAAACGCACACAGAGAGCACCCGTAACAGAGTCATTAAAAGCTTTCATTAGAGTCAGTCAGTCATCCAGACACAAAGTGTCTGTTTAAAACATTAATCCACCAACCAGACTGCTTCATCCATTCACCGTCTGCCCTACTGTACCTGTCTGTCTCTAAGAGTGTATGTTAAACCAGATTAGCCATCCTTATATATATAAGAAGTTATGGATTGTGTATAAAACATGGGCGTGATCGTCGTGACGTCACCTACTAGGTTGTAAAATCAACGCCGTTGCTGTCTTGGTCGTTATGAAAGACGGGCGGATCTGACTGAGAAACCAAACAATACTGCACAATCATTTGAAAGCAACTCTTCAATGACAAATCACACCTTGTTTATGATCTATTTTACTCCAAATGAAAAGTCCAAAGTCAGTTTCTATCTATGATATGCTCTTTTCTAGTGCAAAAGACCAAGAACCCTGTTCCTCACTGTTTTTGTTCTTCTAGCCGTCTTTCTACGTGCGCTGGTTGAATGAAAGTTCTTGGCTTCATCCAACATTAATACTGTGCAGCCTTAATACTGTGGGATCCTGCAGAAGTCTACTACAAACAGAAGATGAGCTAAAACTATTGCTAAAAGAGCATGTGCAACCTTCAACATTCTTACCAAACCTTTTCCTCCAACCTGAAATATTAGCTCTTACCTTTGCACTAACCTTTGAACCCAATGCCCTTTCATGTTTTTCTAACAAGAGCCACTGCCTGCTGGCCACAAAGCTCTTATAATGAAGTCAGTTTTAAGATAGTGGTGTCTTCACCTTCCACACCTAGAAGATACGTACATATTGTATATGCATGGGTGAAATTTGTCTGTGGCATCTGCAAAAAGCACCATTACAACACACATGCACAATCAACCTACACTTGACTGCTCTTAGTTTTGCACCCAAAATGGGAAACCTGAACTATAGATACTGAAAATGAAAGCCAGACACCACATTTAATTATTATAATACCGTCACTCTTGATATATGACAGAGAGC